CTTCAATCCCAGCACTCGGGAGGCAGAGGCAGGCGGATCTCTGTGAGTTCGAGACCAGCCTGGTCTACAGAGCGAGTTCCAGGACAGCCTCCAAAGCCACAGAGAAACTCTGCCTCAAAAAACCAAAAAAAAAAAAAAAAAAAAAAAAAAAAAGAAAGAAAGAAAAAAAAAAAAAACCTCACAGCCATCGTATGTACATAGTCACCACAGGCTCAACCTCCACTGAGTGGCCACACATAAATGATGCCATCCCCGAAAAGCTAAGATGCCCATAGAGGGGCTGAGACAATGGGCAAGTTTTTAGGTAAGTGTGTGTCCACCGGAATGGTGTCCTGGGTTGAGTTTGCAAACTTTGTTATGATCTAAATAAAACTGGTGTGGTGCTGGGCGGTGGTGGCGCACGCCTTTAATCCCAGCACTCAGGAGGCAGAGGCAGGCGGATCTCTGTGAGTTCGAGGCCAGGCTGGTCTACAGAGTGAGTTCCAGGATAGGCTCCAAAACAATACAGAGAAACCCTGTCTGGAAAAAAAAAGAAACAAACAAAAAACTGGTGTGGCAATGTATACCTGGCATGCTAACACCAGGCAGAGGCAGGACACTAAAGAGTTAACAGTTCTGTGTCATCCTCAGCTACATTAGGTCCTGTCTCCAAAACAGTCAGTTATTTATGTATATGTGTGTGTCTGTGTGTGTGTTCATGCACGTGTGTATGTCTGGTTGTGTGCGCACCGGGGTGGAGGCCACAGGATTGCTATTTGTTTAGATACAAGGCCTCTCAGTGGCTTGCAGCCCGCTGACTCTTCTAGCCTGTCTGGTCAGGGAGGCCCGGGAGCCTCCTGTCTCTATGTCCCTATAAAGCTGCTGGCCTTGATTTTATGTGAGGCCTCAGGTCCTCCTGTTTGAAAGGCAAGCATTTTTACGGACTGCTTGCACACTCATGGCTGACCATTGCTACTCGGCAACGTGCAACACACACTCACACACACCAAAATGCTTTTCTTACGATTACACATGGCAGTGAGAGTGTTGTGTGCGTGGCTGGCCAAGAAGTCACCATGCAGCCCAAGAGTCACCTCCCATGTCACCTCTGGTAGGAGTGCTGGATGACATGGGCGCTGGGATTCAAGTTTAGGCCCTCATGTGTGCGTGACGCCGGCAGAGCCACCGTAACCCTCACGTTTAAGTTTCAGACAGGGTTCACCTAACATTACTTCTTTTGACTTTCCATGCAGTTAAAACGTAAAATCCACCGGGCGGTGGTGGCGCACGCCTTTAATCCCAGCACTCGGAGGCAGAGGCAGGCGGATCTCTGTGAGTCCAAGGCCAGGCTGGACCGACAGCCTCCAAAACAATACAGAGAAACCCTGTCTCGAAAAACCAAAAAAGAAAAAAGAAAAAAGAAAAATGTAAAATCCATTCTGAGCCTGAAACCCAGGGTTAGCCCCAGGTGCCAACATTGTGACCTTGTCTAGATCCTCCTGAAGAAGCAAGAATTGCTGGGACCTCTGAAGTGGTTTGGATAAGAATGGTCCCCATAGGCTCAAATATTTGAATGCTTGGTCAGCAGGGAGTGGCACTGTTTGGGAAGTGTTGGGAGGTGTGGCCTTCCTAGGTTTCAAAAGCCCTCGGGGCACAGTATTCTTCCTCCCCTTCCCCTTCCTCCCTCCCCTCTCCCCTCCCCTCCTCCCCCTTCTCTCCCTCCCCCCTTCCCCCTCCCCCTTCTCTCCCTCCCCCCTTCCCCGAGCATTCCAGCTGGGCTCCACCTGGCCTGGCTCCAGAGGGCTGTCACCTAGCCCTAATCCATCCTTTGTGTAAGGGGCATCTTTTGTTTCCCTTGCTGTCCTGTTGGTGAATCTTGCCTGAGAGTTGGCTGGGGGGCAACCCAGAAAAATCTCCTGCATGAGAATTTGCACTTGACAGGATGTTTTGAGGCTGTGTAAATCCACTTGCTAAGGTATAAATTGGAGAACAGTAGAAGCCCTGGGAGCAGGGAAAGCACTTCTGGGTCCACCCTGCAGCCAAGAAAGCCTCAAGTCGTTCTGAGGAGTCTCTGAGTCTTCTCTCCCTCAGCTACTGCTCCAGCACAAAGCCTGTCGGTCTGTTCCTGTCGTGATGACCATGGACTTAGCCTGTGAAACGGTAATGGGGTGACAGGACACTGACCAGGACAGCCACCATCCCAGAGGAAGATCTGAAGCAGAAACCAGACAGAGAGGGGTCGGTGAGCACAACGGTCCTGAGGCAGAAGGAAGTTTGCTGAGCAGAAGGTGACTTTAAACCAATGTCTGCGAAGAGCAAGGGGTGACAAGGTAGGCGCAGGAGCCATCCCCAGGTCAGCTACGAGTGCTTGGTCAGGGCATTTTTGTTTGGTTTTGGAGACAGTATTTCTCTGTGTAGCCCTGGCTGGCCTGGAACTCACAGAGATCCTCCACCTGCCTCCGCCTCCCGAGTGCTGGGATTAAAGGCGTGTGTGACATTTATATCTCATGTTCTTGCTGGGAATAAACCAACTGTTGTTATCTCCCGGAGTCTGACAGTCAATCTGCACTGGGGTTTCAGTCGTAACCCTTCCCACACAGCTCATTTCCGTGTGATACCTGCAGGGGTCCCCGCGTGTGCTTAGTCCAGATTTCCAAGATCCTGAGCTGCTGCTGTGCCTGAGACAGAGCCTGGCCAGCCTGGAGAAGCAAATGAAGGGGGAGGGCAAAGAAACGGGGGCCGTCTGGAGGCAGGGAGTGAGAAGGGCCTGGGATCTCAACCGCATTTTGGAGATGAGGGCCAGGCATGAAGATGGAGAGAGACGAGTACAAGTGATTTCAGAATCAGCGCTGTTCAACATGATTGTGAGCTCGTCATTTACAGAGCTGGGAGAGGAGAGTAACTCAGGGCCGGAGTCAGCCTAGAATTCCCCAGTGAGGGGCTGGGGGTGTGGCCAGGGGTGTGGCCCCCTCCTAGAATCCCTCAGCAAAGGGATTGGAGGGATGGCCATGGGTGGAGCCCCCTCCTAGAATCTCTCAGTGAGGGGATTGGAGGCGTGGCCATGGGTGGAGCCCCCTCCTAGAATCTCTCAGTGAGGGGATTGGAGGGGTGGCCAGGGGGAGCCCCCTCCTAGAATCTCTCAGTGAGGGATTAGAGGCGTGGCCATGGGTGGAGCCCCCTCCTAGAATCTCTCAGTGAGGGGATTGGAGGCGTGGCCCGGGGGGAGCCCCCTCCTAGAATCTCTCAGTGAGGGATTAGAGGTGTGGCCATGGGTGGAGCCCCCTCCTAGAATCCCTCAGTGAGGGCCTAGCGGCCCACCCTGTTGCCTAGAATCTCCCCGCTGTGAGGCTGTATCCTTACTGGCATGACTGGAAAAAACCTGGGTTTCATTCTTAGCACTGTGAAAGCAAGACAAAAAACCAGGGCTCAGTAGGAAGCGCATTTGCCGCTCTTTCAGAGGACTGCGCTGGGCTCTCAGCGGCTTACGGCCGTCATCCACAGTCCCGTCATACGTTCCGTATACTACTCATACACATACAAATACATCTTTTTTTTTTTTTTGGTTTTTCGAGACAGGGTTTCTCTGTAGCTTTGGATGCTGTCCTGGAACTCACTTTGTAGACCAGGCTGGCCTCGAACTCACAGAGATCCGCCTGCCTCTGCCTCCCGAGTGCTGGGATTAAAGGCGTGTGCCACCAACGCCCAGCCTTTTTTTTTTTTAAACCTACAAAAAATTGCCAGGTACTGGTGGCACACACCATTAAATGAGCACTCAGGAGGCAGAGTCAGGAGAATCCTGAGTAGAGGCCAACCTGGTCTACACAACGAGTTCCGGGTCAGTCAGGGCTACACAGAGAAACCCTATCTCGAAAAACCAAAAACCAAAGAAACCCTTGGAAAGAAAACCAAGAAATGTTGGGCCCCAGCCCCATGGGGTCTCTGTGAGTTGCTGGTCAGCCTACAAGTGCAACTTGTTTTCCAGTCCAAGTGCTTTCTGTTTTCTAGTCCTGGCTTACTGCCCTGGCCTTGACCCTCTGACACCAACATCCAGCAGGAGGAAAACAACGATCTCTTCTACCTGGGGTTTTTTCCACTGTGCTGTAAACTTGTATAAAAAGCTCCTCCCTCCTACAAGGGAGAGACCTCTTAGCACTTGCAATGAAGACACACACACACACACACACACACACTCTCCTGGCAATAAAGGCAGCCCATGCATTCTCTTAGGACAAACAGCTGGATGTCTGGTCTCTCTTTTCCTGATACCCTGGACTTGCTAGTGGCGGTGGCGCGGCAAAGAAATGTGTAGTATTGACGTATCGCACTTTCAAAAACAAAACGAAAAACAAACTAGCATTGGCCCTGAATTTTTGAGTGTATTTTACAGGTGGAGGACGGGAGGCCAGCCGCCCCGTATTCTCACACACACCCGTTTACAGACGAAACCTCGACGCCCAGATTTTTTTGTTCTTTTTCTTTTCTTTTTGTTTGAGACAGGGTTTCTCCTCTGTATAACAGCCCTAGCTGTCGTGGAACTAACTCTGCAGACCAGGCTGGCCTCGAACTCAAAGAGACCCACCTCGCTCGGCGGGTACCCAGGCAGGCTGAGTGTGCTTTCTTTGCACAGCCTGCGTCTGAAGCCTGGGGTGACCTGACTTGGCGTCTTCCTCCGCCGTGCGGATGGAAACTGACGCCTGAGGTACAGGGTCACCCTTGCGTGCACGTGGAAAGGGGTCACTTGGATGTCAACGTCGGCTCACGCCAGAGAAACAACAGGGAACGCGGCGGGAATCGAAGCGAGCCCGCAAGCAGCGGCGCGGCGCAAGTGCACATGCGCGGCGGGCGGACACTCTAGCGCTCGGCGTCCTGGGGCCCAGGGACAAACGCATGCTGCTTGCGCGCATGCGTGCTGCGCTAGCCACGCCTCCCTCGCGGGCGGGAAGAGGCGGCGGGCGGAGGACCGTTAGTGCGCAGGCGCGCGTCGACGCGTGAGTCGGTACGAGCTGCCCTCCTCCGCGCCCCGGCGTCGGCTGGTGGAGTGCGCAGGCGCAGGAAGTCTTCAGCAGAAAGCAGACCGAGCCCGGGGGCCGGGCGCGGGGCCTTGTGGGAGGGCTTAAGGAAGTAAAATGGCGGACCTGGCGAACGAAGGTAGGGGAGGCGCCGTCGGAGGCCAGCTGGTGGCGAGCGGGCGGGGGGCGGGAGGTTGAGGGAGCCTCAGAGCCGAAGGGTGAGCGCCTCAGCCTGCGAGAGTGCAGCCTCGTCCTGTCTGGGCTCCCGGCGGGCCCCCCCACCATGGCGTCCGGTTCCCGGCCCGGTTCCTCACGGCAGCCCGGGCTTCTGTCTCCGCCCGGCCTCGAGGCTCCCGAGCCGCGCAGCGACCGCCACCTGAGGCCTTCTCGCATCGCACGCCGGCCCGGAAGCCCAACGGGCGGGAGACGCGGCCCCGCGGCCTCGGGTGGGGCGAGACCTCGGGGCCTGCTCGCCGGCCCAGCGCGCCACGCTCCCTTCCCCGCCCCCCTCGCCCGAGGCCCGGGCCTCCGTCCCCGGGCTGGCCTTAGGCCCAGCTCCCAGCCATCCCACGAGGTCCTCGGCCACCGCGACCCGTGGCTTGCATTCCGAGCTCTGCTCAAACCCGAACCCGTCGCCCCTATTCCCGCCACTGGCTTTCACGCTCTTTGGGGTGCACCTGATGTCCCCCCCATTTAAGCCTGGCCGCCTGATCTTGAAGGTCCCAACTGCTTCTGCACATCCCATTTTTGTTTTTGACCCCGTGATACTCTCCCGCTTGAGTGGTGTGACTATGGGAAGGCTACCCAAATGTGCCACAGAACTCACACCCTTCTTCCCACCAGTCCCCAAGTCCTTTGGGCTGCAGTTCGTATCCCCTAGTTAAGGCTTTGCCACCGGATCTGCAGGTCCTCATTGCCTCCCCCTCCTCTGTGCACCCTCCCCGGTGGGGCCCTGATGCCCCATCTGAGCACTCTGGGCGATGCCACACTTCCCCAGTATCATAGTCAGCCGCCCTGCAGCCTGATGCCCTCTGATGGTCTCCCTTGGGGGCTGCTCCTGGGGTGTAGTTTTGGAACTTTAGAGGTCTATTTTTAGCCCTGTCCTTTCTCCCTGCGCAACTACAGGCAGGCTGATAGCGGCGGGCACCTGGTTCTCCACCGTGCAATATTCCTTCCTGCCCGTGACGTGTTGTGTGTAGCCTGAGCCTTCCTTCTGTGGACGACTCAGAGAGTGATGCTCTTCACAGAGCACACTTGGCACGGGTGGGGGAGGGCGCTGGGATGGTGCCGGGAGGATGGAGGTAGTGTTTACACCTGCCATTCTCAGTCTCCACGCGAGCCTGGAAAGGTAGGTGGTGTAGGTGAGTTGCCTGAGGCAGGTCGAGAGTCAGGGCTGTATGAACCAGAGTGTGCTGGGCTAAGCCCCCGTTCATGTCTGTTTGGCCTCATTTTAAGGAGCCTTTGTGGGTGGAGGCAGGAGGGGATGTGTTCTAAACCCACACTTTTAAGAGTTGTTAGGGCTTTATAGTTGGCTGTCTTCAAACTCTCCTTACAGCTAAAGCTAGTTTTGAAGCCCTGGTCCTCCTGCCCCCACCTCCCAGGTGCTGGGATGACAGGTGTGCAGTGTTGCATGTAGCTAGTGCCACTGAGATCTTTGTAATGTGCTGTTTACAACAGAATCCCCTCCCCAAAACCAGTTCTCTCAACCTGTCTTCTGTGGTTGTCGATGGAAATGCCCCTTAGCCCAGAACCACTGCCTCTGTTTCCGCAGGGTGTCCTGCCTCTCTCTCTCCTGCTGCGCCTTAACCAGAAGCTAGAGTGACCCTCCTACACAGACCCTCCCTCCCTCCCTGACCCCCTGTGCCCTGCCTCTGGAGTACCCCGCCCACCCTGGCCACCTGTCTTTCTTCATGCTACCTTACTCCCAAGGAGTCCCCTGGCCACCTGCTTTCCTTGGTGGCCACCTTCCTTGTGCCTTCTGCCCTGCTGTATTCCCATCACAGCTGTCAGTCAGCAGGCTAGGGCTGGCTCTCCATCACTAGTGGCCCTGCTGCTGGAGCAGTGCTTGTTCCTGAAACTGTCCCAGGGCTGAATCTTCCATGAGAAAGGGGCCAGGGAAGGGGTTTATTGCTGAGGGCTCTTGCTGAGATGGGCCTTGGAGCAATTTGGATTTGCTGTTCCCTGGGGCTGTGTTTTCTTGTGGCTCCCACACACACTGTCCACAGTAAATTGCCCGTTTGGTTGTAAAATTGAAATGGGGGAGTGTTTGGCACTGAAGTTTGTACCTAGGAAGGGCTGTGCCCATCTGCTGTTTTATCCCCCCAGTCCTGTCAGAGGTGAAGTTTTTGTGCCTCCGATCCATCGTTTCTGACTACTATTGGTAACCAGAACACTCCCGTCTCTTGGACATGTTCCCAGCACACTGTTTGATGCCTTGTCACCTTTGTAAAGTAGTTGTGTTGTTTTGAGACAGTGTCATGTAGTTCAGGCTGGCCTTGAACTTGCTGTGTAGCTGAGGATGACCTTGAACACTGACCCTTCTGCCTCCACTTTCCCAGTTCTGGACAAGTGTGTGGCTGACATGACTGTGCATATTGGGCTAGCACTCAGTCCCTTAGCCTTGGCTCTGTAGCCTCTGTGTTTTGAAGCCATAGGCATGAGTGCCCTAGGGCTGTGGCTCCTGCCCTTCCAGGCCCACATCTGTAGCTCCCTTGTCTTCCCTCCCAGACTCCCTTTCATCCATCTCATTTCTCTGCCCTGGGCCATCCCTTCTCAGGCATTCTGAAATAACGGCTGTCTAACTTGACTGCGAATTCAGAGTCAACTCACACACGCCCCCCTCCGGTCCTCTTCAGTCCATAGATGCTTGGTTTCCATCTGGTATGGTGCTTGGGTAGCTCCACAGCTCCAGGTCTCCAGGCCCTTGGATTCCTGTGCTGCCAAGGCCAGACCAGGTTGCAGAGCCCTGGCCAGTGCAGCTCAGGTGAGGTGCCCCCTGCTCGCATGTAAGGAAGCACCCTCAGTTGCAGTCCAGTGCTGTATCCTGCAGGCTCTTGTTGCCATGGTGATCTCAGCCCTTCTGTGGAACTTCTGTAGTTCATGGCTTTGAAAAGTCTCCTTGAAGGCTTCTCTCCTGGGAGAGAGACAGACAGGATGGAGCAAGGTTTTCCTACACACCTCGTCCTGTTTCGAGAGTCTCTCAGCACCACAGATAGCACAGAAGAGTGGGACCCAGCAGAGCCAACAGTGGCTTCTAGCTATTCATTGGCCAGCTGAGTTCCTGGCAGAGCTGTGTGTGCATGGTGGGGAGCAGGAGCCACCTTGGGCTGCACAGAGCTTCCCATACATTTTAGGGTTAGCAGCATACCCTGTCTTCAGTCTCCTGCCCCAGGGTCATGACTTCCTAAAATACCTCCATACATAGCCCTACCCTATGAGTTGGGGTAGCTGCAGAGTCATCTCTCAGGTAAGGCCTACAGGTGTCAGGATCGTGGCACAGACTGTACCCTAGAGCAAATCAGGCTAGTGCTCTTTCTTTGCTCTGAGGCCTCAACCTCAGTTTTCCCACCAGCAAAATGGGAGTGCGGATTATGGCCCCAGTCTCATGGCTCTGTGGGCCTTGATGAGCACTCACTGGCAGCTGTTGTCCCTCCCTGAACCAGCATTTCAGACATGGGCAGTCCTGGCGCAGTGGGGGACGAGAGAGGAGGGAGGGGAAAGAAGGAAAGAAAGAACGAACATTGGGTGTGGCTTGGTGGTCTTGGCTTCTGTCCACAGTATCACATGATGATGGAGGGGAGTGAGTGAGTCGTGGGTCTCTGCTCCACTGAGATGACCCTAGCTAAGTGCGGCTAGGAGCCCAGGAGGCTCACCTCTGTCCCTTGATTACTGCCTGCCGGTCTGCATGACCCTGCAGCCCAGGGGTCCTGCCCTTAGTCGTGACAGTTATGTGGCCTCGTCACTTGTGACCATCAGAGTTGAGCTTGGTGCCTGGCCTCTTCCCCTCCTTTCATGCCCTGCACTTAACCTTTAGGTCAAAGCAAAGGAAGAGCACAGGGCTGCATGCTGGCATAGATGGGTGACAGGTGGTCCTGGTCTCTAGCAGAGGAGTGAGGGCAGAGGGAGTTTGACAGTCGGGCTGCAGAAACTTTACCCTCTGAAGACAGTGTCAGTGTGGCAAGAGCCAGTTGAACTACCTCTGCTCAATGGGGTTGAGTTGGAGTGAGTGGAGGCAGGTGATCTTGGAGAAGCTGGGCCCAGTGGCCCAGTTGAGTTATCTTGGCACTTGGGAGGCTGAAGCAGGAACATCTCAGGTTCAGGTCAGCCTGGGCTACATGCTTAGTAATTTCAAGGCTAGCCTGGGCACTTGGCAAGACCCTATCTCAAAATTCAAAAAGGGAAAAAAGAATGATGTTCAGAGTGGGCACGGGGAGGGAGGGAAGGTTCAGGCTCGGGCCTGTGCTGGGAGGCTGGTAGCTCTCCAAGGTGCTTACTTCCCAGCCACCCAAGACTGGTGACAGTAGTGCAGGCTCCTCTATCTGTCTTCCTCTGCACAGGCTTCTCCTTGGGGTGCCCTCAGTGTAGTGGAGAAAAGCATCCCACACACTCCTCTGTGCCCAGGGCACCCAGAGAGTTTAAAACTTTCCAGGAAGGCAGAGTGGAGCACCACAGGCAGAAGTTGTCACCTTGTGTGACGCCCAGTGGAGGGGCTGCTCACTTCACTTCCATTGGGGCTTCTGCGTGTGTTTTTGAGTAGGAATCGGCCTGAGGTTCTGTAATTTCAGGGAAGGCTTCAGGTTTCTGACTTGGTTTGAAAATGAGGAACTGATTTGGGCCAGCTTGTACATTTGGGGTTTGCTGGGCTGGAGGACAGACAACTGCCGCCCCTTCCCCAGAAAGACTGAGGACATGTGGACACCTCATGCCTGTTGTGCCTGGTTGAGCACTCCTTGAACGTCCTAAGGGTCTGTGGTGACTGCAGGGGACCATCTGTCCTTGTTTTGCCAGCGCTCAGAGGGCAGCAGCCAACAGGCCTCACCATGTCCAGGATCCCGGGACCACTGTAGGGCTACAACCTCGTAATGACCTCACCCAGCTTCTGCCAGGTAGCTGGGAAGACAGCCTGTGCCAGTGGCCCAA